TTTGTCTCTTTAACTTCATGTTACCCCACATCCAAAAATTAGTAATTGTTATTTCATTGCTGTCTCATTTCTTTCTGTAAAACAAGAAATTGAATAGGTTTTCTATCAACCAAAAGTAATTTGGCTTCATCAATATTCTGACAAGACACCCAAACACTTGATAAGGCAGACGTAAATGAATTTTGTCAATTTTTCTGATTAATGTCATCTGAATAATTTCCGGCATCAAGCAAATGTTTTGTCTCCAACAAACAGGAAAAGGAACTCTGTCATTCTGGGAAGTATTGATATCAACTGTTTCAGAAAATCAATCTTTACCTGGATATAATTATAAGTGGCCCTATTTACACTGGATATCAAGGAAGCCTTCCTTCTTTGCCAACTTGCTTGCCTGAGTGATCAGATTTGATTAATGATACCCCAGTTGACAGTTCAGAATATAGATTATGATGTATAAGACTTTTACCAGCAATCTTAAAGGGACACCTTCATCAGTTATCAGGATATATCTGAAAATTAATCAGGTCCAGGTGAAAACAAAAGTGAAAATTCCCCAACCAAATTGTCAAACTAGATATAATGCAGTGATTATTTAAAGAACTTTTTAAATGAAACCAAACACAATTCTATCCTACCTGAACAATCACGTTATATATATAACTAACTAACTTAAAAACTAACACTTATATAACATGGACCCAAACTTAAGAGATAGCAAAATGAAGAAGATTACCCTCATGGCAAGACATGGCTGAAATTGAATGAGAGTAAAAAAGAACAACTGTTCTCAAGATTATTGCCTAATGAATAGTCCAGGCTGTACATAGAACTAGAGTGTAGATAAGACAAATCACTGAAGTCTGCAGTAAAAACATCTCTGTCCATGCATGCTACCTGATAGGACTTATCTCTTGTAAAACACTGATTATCTTCCCCTGTATCATCAAACCCATCTCCCATGACAAGTTGTGTACGGACACAGTCATTTCACAAGAACTCCAAGAACTTGATTTTCAGTCTTTAATCATTTTAAGAAGTGACAGTAAAAATGAAGCCACCCACACAACTAAAGAATATTAAGTTAAATTATTGACACCAGCTGTTGTAAATTTCTTTACTATGTATGGAATCGAACTCTTCTGCACACATTCCTTAAGCGTTATCTTTTAATAAATATGTCTGTTGTTAATATTAGAATGTGTCTCATATCATGGTGTACATGGTGTGAGTTAAGCTGGGAGGGGATACCGTACTCAAGTCAGGCCAGTTTGGCTGACAGGATGATCAATCAGACATTTTAGTAGCTACTGGCCAAAGAATTTCATTTTCGAAACATTTAAAGTTTGTTTTGCCCCGAGGTAGATGTCATATGGATTTCGCTTCTAGTTGTGGGATGTTGTGTTGATTACTTATATCTTGGAGCAGGATTTATACATTACATTGTCTCTCTGTAAATGGACACCGGTCAAGATGTCCGTTTGGGGGTCATGTATGTGTTTCATTTCTCACATCAGTTATGTTCAATTGGACTACATTTATGTTGCTTTATTGACAGTGATTGATGATTAATGTAGTATCTAATCTAATATTTTCTGTTTCTGACAGTACTGAATTGTTAGATATATGTTGCACTATTTGATAGTGATTCATGTACTTCATATTTATGGATAGTTTTTGGTTTGTTTGTAGATGGTCAAATAGTTTAAAGTGATCTAAAGTATTATAGCATGACATGTTTATATGCTGTGTAGATTTGTATAGTAAAATGTATCTATAATATGTTGTTGCTTTTATGTGAACTGAAGTATTTATCAATGTTTGCTTTTTTAATCTGGAATTATTATTCTTCAATCAAAATAATATGCATAGCTGTTGAACCATTTGTCAGTGATTGCTTGCCAACTGTATAATGTCCAGGTGCTTGGGCTACCTTGATCAGTTGACCTCTGTCCTGTTGTCCACTTCAGTGTTTACACTGCGTAGACATCTCTCAGCTTGTCTGTCTGTTCTGGCAGCTCCACCAATCAAACATCCATGTCTTGTCACATGATCAGTCACCTTCAGTTGGAAACACATATACTTCCTATAGCCAGAAATGAATATCCTAGTTTCAGAGAGCATTGATTAAATAATTGACACTGTGTCTGTGTGAATGACCAATCTAATCATTATGACCATCATATCCTCTTTAATATTTCTGATGATCCAACATGGTCTGTTGGTTGGTTCAATTTTCTTTTGTTGTCATCACTGTTTAAATGCCATGCTTTGTTCATGGTAATTGAACATTCTGTGGAAATGCTTTTTATCAAGGAAATCTGCTTCATGTGGAACAGCAAATAGAGCACATGGGAACACAATTGCAATAGTGAAGCTTTATTGAACCCTTCAGTGGTTTTTCGCTTCATATCACTTATAAGATAAAATATATCATGGCATATACATCTTACAAAAATAACCCACCTTGTGTTGTTGGCTGAATGATTTCAACAATATTTGCAATACATGTCATTAGTTATTTACATTCTGCTACAATCAAAATTGATGATATTAATTTCAGACAAAGTTAACACATCTATTTGTATTCTATTAAGAATATAATATTATTCACTCAAAGATAAGAGCATTACTCATTCTGGACTGTAATCTGAGACAAACTGTTTTTCCCGGTGTCACCGCCTACAATAGTCATATGTGCCAGTTGACCAGATATGAAAGATAAGCTAGTCAGGTATATATCACAAAAGCATAAGTCTAGTCCAGAAGATCTCCATGTGTGACGACGCTTAGCCATTATGGGCAACACTGGCTCACTGGTATTTCAGAGGTCCCCAAGGAGAGATGGGTTCAATTTGCAGACAAACCTCACTACCTGCAAGCCTCTGTCTTCATCCTCAAAGTAGGCTTCTAACTTGGTGTACTTGTACATGGCCTACAAATGGCCGGTTGCTTGTTTGCCAGATCAGATATTGCTGTTTGTGCATTGTTGTTTATCTAATGAATTATCCATGACTACAGATGGGATGTGTACATATTTATTTGTTAATATGACAGTTGTATTAGATATATGTAAGGGTGACAGACAGTTATCACTGTTCAATCAGTGATAGATTATTATCAGAATAATCAGTTTATTGACACTTATTCCAGGGCTAGACACCATGAATTAAATCATACTACATGTAGTTCACATATTGAGGTAGTGGTTTATGCTACATAACCATACTTTAGACAAAACAACTAGTTCTTCCAAATTTTCTACAGTCTCAGGCTATTACAGTAGTGCCCATATCTAGTCCTGTATACCAAGTGTGTGAGGTTTGTTGTTGTTCCCTAGCTAGATAGTATGGTAAATTGTTTCTTGTTTGATTAAATATGACAATTGTTTTGCAGTGATGAATAATTCTACCCACACTCGGTCCTTTGGCTGTGACAATGTAGACTGTTGAGCTTCTTCTTTCATTGCCAGATAGAGTGTAGGGTTTTGAAGCATGTTCATTCACATACAAAGTAGTCCATCAAGAAATAGATGTATCTCAACACAAGAATCTGCTGACATGTCATAGGTAGCTGTGAGAAGGGGAGATTAAGCAGAGATATGTGTAGGTGTGGGGCAGTGGTGAGAGCTATTCACAGCTTGGTAATTCAATAGTCAAGTAAAATGAGAGAAAAAGCACATGTAAAAATAACCTGTAATCTCATGCCATCCACCTTAATCCTAATACCTGTCCCTATCCCAATTTAAATCACAACATCAGCAACAGGATTGATTCAATCTTCATATTTACTGTTTATGGAGAACGCCATTGTTTAATTAATGAACGCTTGAACTTTGAGTGTGGTAGATAGATAAGTATAGTGGGATGACGCAGTTTGGTGATACAAGCATCATCACCCAGACATGCCAAGGAGCACTCCCCTCTTGTTTGCTTCGGTCAACATACATGACAAAACATAAAACTAATTATGCTGTCTCAGGAGTCACTCGATGATGGTTGTTTGTAGGTCAAGATGTGTACTGGGAATAACCTGACATTTGATGGGAGTGCTTATAAACAATGATTAGGCTAATGATGCAGTGTTTTCTCATGTCAGCCAACCTACGCACATGTTCACAGGTTTCATTAATGATACAAATGTTCAAAAATTAATGAGATGTAATGAAATTATCTGACAGCGCCTATAGCCACTAAGACCTGTTTAGTAGTGGTTTGGTTTTGTGTTGATCTCCTAGCCAGTCTTACAGAATTGTCAACCAAATATATATTCATATCTTATCTCAACATCCACGAGACATCCTTATTGCTGTAACATGATCATCATCAAGTGACATATGATCAGTTTTCAAATTGAGACAACACCCAGTGTAATACCCTTGTGATATTGTTCCTGTTTGATAGAAATCTTTGTGATGTAGAATTGTTCGCTTACCTGAACACATCATTTAATGATTAGAAGCTATCCAATACTGTGATGTCATCTATTTTTGTGAGCGGCGGTAGGGTAGCCTAGTGGTTAAAGCGTTTGCTTGTCACGCCGAAGACCTGGGTTTGATTCCCGGCATGGGTACAATGTGTGAAGCCCATTTCTGGTGTCCCCTGCCATGATATGGCCGGAATATTGCTAAAAGCGGTGTAAAACCAAACTCACTCACTCATTCACTCTATTTTTGTGCCTGATTATGGCTGAGATTAAAGGCAAAATATGTTGAACAACTTCTTACAGATATGGATACTGTTGTAGTTCTCACTCCTTCAAGACCCAGATCTGTTACATCCTGTGATTGTTGATAACAACTTCACGTACACTTCTAATGTGACCATACAAAGTGTATTAATGAAACTATGGTATGATGAAAGCCGTCCTCTTGTTTACAAGCCTTTTCAAAGCATTACATGCAAGGATAAAATCAAGCTGACTGAAGTTTCAGTGATGATATGTGATAAGGTGAACATGCCTGTGTTTTCCTGCATTGTGATGTATGATATTGTTTGTTTCAGTGAATATGCTCCGAGGAGAGTGGTGCTACACAAAGGCCCTGAAGGGTTTGGCTTTGTGCTGCGAGGTGCGAGGTGTAAGTATGATATGCTTCCTGTTCTTTCTAACTCCACTGTTATCTTGTCCTATCTGAGTGTATCATGTGCATGCAGTAGCACACAGTGTCACAACCATATAGTTCCATAACACAGTGTCACACCCATGTGGTACCATATCACAGTGTCACAACCATGTAGTACCATATTACAGTGTCACAACCATGTAGTACCATATAACAGTGTCGCAACCATGTAGTACCATATCACAGTATCACAACCATGTAGTACCATATTACAGTGTCACAACCATGTAGTACCATATCACAGTATCACAACCATATAGTTCCATGTGTTAGTGTCACAACCATATAGTTCCATAACACTGTCACAACCATGTAGTACCATATCACAGTATCACAACCATGTAGTACCATATTACAGTATCACAACCATGTAGTACCATATTACAGTGTCACAACCATGTAGTACCATATCACAGTATCACAACCTTGTAGTACCATATGACAGTGTCACAACCATGTAGTACCATATGACAGTGTCACAACCATGTAGTACCATATGACAGTATCACAACCATGTAGTACCATATGACAGTGTCACAACTATGTAGTACCATATCACAGTGTCACAACCATGTAGTACCATATCACAGTATCACAACCATGTAGTACCATATGACAGTGTCACAACCATGTAGTACCATATTACAGTGTCACAACCATGTAGTACCATATCACAGTGTCACAACCATGTAGTACCATATTACAGTGTCACAACCATATGATTCCATAACACAGTGTCACACCCATGTAGTACCATATCACAGTATCACAACCATGTAGTACCAGATCACAGTGTCACAACCATGTAGTACCATATTACACAGTGTCACAACCATGTAGTACCATATTATACAGTGTCACAACCATGTACGTAGTACCATATTACACTGTGTCACGACCATGTGGTACTATATCATGCAGTATCACACCATGTGGTAACTTATCATGCAGTATCACACCATGTGGTACCACATCATGCAGTATCACACCATGAAGTACCACATCATGCAGTATCACACCATGTAGTACCACATCATGCAGTATCACACCATGTGGTACTATATCATGCAGTATCACACCATGTAGTACCACATCATGCAATATCACACCATGTGGTACTATATCATGCAGTATCACACCATGTACCACATCATGCAGTATCACACCATGTAGTACCACATCATACAGTATCACACCATGTAGTACCACATCATGCAGTATCACACCATGTAGTACCACATCATGCAGTATCACACCATGTGGTACTATATCATGCAGTATCACACCATGTAGTACCACATCATGCAGTATCACACCATGTAGTACCACATCATGCAGTATCACACCATGTAGTACCACATCATGCAGTATCACACCATGTGGTACTATACCATGCAGTATCACACCATGTAGTACCACATCATGCAGTATCACACCATGTAGTACCACATGCAGTTTCACACCATGTAATACCACATCATGCAGTATCACACCATGTGGTACTATATCATGCAGTATCACACCATGTAGTACCACATCATGCAGTATCACACCATGTGGTACCACACCATGCAGTATCAAACCATGTAGTACCACATCATGCAGTATCACACCATGTGGTACTATATCATGCAGTATCACAACCATGTACATATTAGTACTATAACACACAGTGTCATAAACATGTGGTACCAAAACACTGATAGCATGACCATTCAATAGCACTGTTAGTAATTAGACAGAAGCATTACTGCCATATCACAATATTGAAAGTGCTTAACTTCTAAATTGGAAATACTAATTTAATGTAGATCAGACCAAGGAATTAAGATGAAACTATTAACACATCCATGTCAGAGCTTTCCCTAAGTATATATCTAATTTTAATCTTGATGAGTAAATATTTCACAATGGAGTTCAGACCATTAATTACAGTGAAGGTAGACCTGAATGCAGATAGTGTGCCAAAAGAGAGCTGATCCCTACCCCTGTCTTTTATTGAGGCTGTGCTGTACAAGTATATAATGGGACTACAGCAATGGTTCACTTGAATTGTATACACAGGATGTATCGACTTCTTAGCTGAATATTGTTTGTTTCTGGAAAAGAATAATGTTTTTTGTTTGTAATAGAGGCATTACCTAACAAGTAGGTTGCTGGGGTCATGTTTGTAATGTGAGTGTTTGTCGAACTCACAGAACCCATAGTGTTCTGTTTAGAACCGTGATGGAATTGTGTTGAGAGGCACACAATTATCTGAAAAACTTTGGAACTATTTCTTGTGCCTGGCTGATTTTAAGAAATTAATAGGATTAATTATCAGATGAACTCCTTTTTCAAACTTTTGGAAACAGTTACAATGACCTCAAATGTTTCTTGTTTTTATAAACTTTTTCCAACGTTGACTTCCCCATAGTGATTGTAGAGCAGACTATGTTATATACTGCTTGTTATACCCCCCACCTATCAGGGTGGGGGTACATAGTTATACCATGGACTACCTTCCTTCCTTCCATCTGTCCGTCCTTCCGAGGACATTTTATTGTGTGACTTATAACTTGAAAAGTACTTCATGGATTCTTTTCAAACTTGGTGAACACTCTTTATACCTACAGGAGAGGTGCAGTGCAAAGTTTGATTTCAATATTTGGATTTTCTGAAGAAAAAAATACAGCTATTCTTCATTGTTTAACTTGGAATTATTTTACTGAAACATTTGTGTGACCTGTTGTCAAAAAACTACTTCATGAATACTTTTCAAATTTAGGGAACAGTTTCCATACTAATAGAAGAGATGCACTGCAAAATTTTAGTTTTATATGTGTATTTTCTAAAAACAATATGATATTATTTTATGTTTTGAACTTAGAATATTTTTTACATCAACATTTGGGCGAACTTTAAAAAACTGCTTCATTCATTCTTTCCCAATTGGGGGTAAGTTACTTTACCAATAGGAGAAGTGCAGTGCAAAGTTTTATTTGGATACATGGGTTTTCTGAGAAAATATTGCTTTTCTTATGTTTTAAACTTAGAAATATGTTGGAGTCAAAGCCAGGGCTGATTAGTTAGCCCTGCTCACTTTTTGTCTTGTTTGTATTTAGAGCCAACTGAAATTGAGGGTCATTGCTTAGTACTGTCAACCACAGGTTTAAAATATCTTTTGCTTAGAGGTCTATGAGGACTTATGATGTTGCTGAAACATTTTTTGTTTTCTTGTTTTCATTGATATTTTTAAGCATCCAAAATATTTTGTTTGAAATTTCTTCTAATATGTATGTTGCAAAATATTTCAAACCATTTCAAGTACACATTCTAAGAGACATTTTCTCTGATACAACACTAAATGTTAACTGAACACAGGTCTATCAGATCTTCTTCAAGGCAAAACAAAAGCTATGAACATTCAAAACATCCCAGTTCATCCAATTTCAAATAAACCAATTGAAAATTGAATCGGTGCCTTAGTGTGTTCATGATATATAATGCAGGCTATGTTTTCCTGGCCTGCTGATGTCCACATCTGTGTGTGTGTCATGTATGGAGCGGGATGCTGTTACAGATGTGGTCTTGGCAGTGTTTGAAGTTTTGTTTAGTTGTATTTGTCCATCAGTTTAGCGTATTTGTCCTCCCTTTGTTAACTCACCACAGCCCTATTACACACGCATACTGCTCCAACTGGATGCAGCAGGAATGTTATTGACCTGTAGTGTGTCTTCTTAGTACTGCTACAGTAATGTAGACAAGCATACTTATATGGGTTGAGAGAAGTAACCAAGTTGGCTTTGTACTTGGTGACAGTGTTAAAACATGCTGGTCATGTGGCCACAAGGTAGAAATTTGACACTTGATATTTGGGGGTGATTCTATGTTAATATTTGCCTGTAGAGAGAACCTAGAACATGAAGGGTCTGTCAAGGTCTTTGGTGATTGGTCTGCAAACAGAGAAATAGCCAGCAATCATTTCTTGGAAACGTTGTTCATAAATAATTCTTTTTCTGTGTTTTTAATGAATATCTCAAATGATGGTTCCAACATATCAACAAAATTGTTTGTATTTTCAAATGTTGACCACATGAAAATGGTCTAAACTTGTTTGTAATGCAAATTGACATGCATAAATTGTGAGCAGAATTTGTTTGTGCAAACCTGATGTCCAATAAATCTTAAAATGACCATTTTTGGACTGGAATGGGAAAATGTTTTGATTTTGTACAATGGGCTAATATGTTTAGTATTTATAGCTCATAATGTTGAGTGTATGAATCTGATCTGATCACATCCTTTTTTAGTATAAATAATTTGAATACTTTGGATGGAAGCAAGCACCTGCTGTAATTGTGTTGACAGAGGCGAGATTGAGATACAGGGAGCATGAGGTGCTCCTACTGTGGGGCTGTTCAAGGGAATGTTGGCTGCGGAATACCGTCTGTGTTGCACACAAACAACACAGGTTGTCACACAACAAACAACAATAAAGCTCATTGTTACATCATTTAGTTTAAAGCAGGACGGACACTCCACAGGAACCTGTGAATAGAGCAACATCCAAAGCCTACATTGCATAGCAAAATTTGTTCCTTTTTACATCAATCTAGGCGGATCATTAATTTATTGCACTTTTGATGTTATTTCCTTTCAAAATGTCCTTGATGAAAGTCAAACAATGAGGAAAAAATATCAAAGCCAAGTTAACTTTCAAACCTATTTTTTCACTACTGGGAAGTAAGTATTCCGTATGTATTTGTTTTGCTCATGAGTATCCTAGTATCAAGCTGTAATAATGAAATTCATAGACTGTAATGGTTTGATATCAGAGCTGTGAAGGTAGTTACAGATACTTTGTATTTTTTGCACAATACCCATTATGTCTCAGATGCTAAATGCTGAGGTTGATAATTAGTTTGACAATATAAATGAAAAATCTTGGTGCATATATTATAGGGATAATTAAGACTACTCTGTTTAAGTAACCTTTATCATCTTTTCATTCTTTGATAGCACTGGTTCCCGGAGGATGTATTGGTCGTCATAGTAATAGAAGTATGTGGGCGTTATTGCGTGGTATCATCAATGAATGAATACTGCTAATGTAGACCGATTTTTCCCATGTGATACTAGTCTCAGTCTCACCTATAATTTTACATTCAAAGAGGTATCATTTTCATTCAACCTTACTGAAAGCAAGTAAATTAGCACTTTTTTAACCCGTTTCTGATTAAAATACATTATTTATATGTGATATTGCTTTGTGACTATTTTTTTTATTGACTTTGAAAAGCTATGTTCATAATCATAAGAATTGTATATCAATACTGAAACTCTTTTCACCACAAGAACCCCTTACACGTTCCTACAAAATAATGATAGTTTCACTGCTATTTGTGGAAAAGGGGCCCGTTCTAAAACATAGGTTGTGTTTCTAAAGGTTGAAGATCGTACCAGTTTCCTGTTTCTTTACAGAGGTTGAACATGAATGAATATATGAAAGATTAATACCTAAATCCCTTTGCTCCTCCAACTTTCCCACAACATAAACATAGCAGGACATGAATGACTTTGACCAGACAGTTAAAATACCATATCTTTTCTCTCCTCCCCCCCCCCCCCCATGGCCTTGAACTCAACAAGGTGAAAGTGTTCACTCAGGCATGAAGTAATTGTACGATTCATTGATCATGCAAACCAGAGGCAAAGTGCACCTCATGAAGTAGTTATACTTTCTATAAACATTTGAAAATCTTTATGATCCCATTTCATGCCTTCAATAATTCCCATAAAGGATTGGCTCAGCATTCAGCACCTTCTTTGAATGTACAGATTCTTTTACAGTGCAACAGATCTGTGCATATGGCCTTTGTGGTTGTTTAGGTCTCAGCTGTTCACTTTAGAAAAGACTTTTTCCGATTGCAATTTTAGCTTCTGGTAATGGTATAAAATTAAGCCATATTATAATATTGCAGTTTGATGACCATTTCAAGCAAAACCATAATTCATAGGACTTGTGTTTTTAACTGACTTACCATAGTCTGTAGCTATGCTTCAAGTGTGGTTAGACTTTAGAGCTTGAACCTTGAAAAGGGAAATTTTGGGCTTATGATAGCAGTAGACTAGTGAAAGAAGACAAAGAAAAACAATAAGCTTTCTAGAAACAAGGAGATTTTGAAAATGCTTCAGATTTAACGGGGATGATGGTTGACTCAGGAAGAGGGTGTTTTCTTCAGGTGAACAAAACCTGGACCATATGTGTATTTGATAAGATGAAATTGTATGTAAGACCCTTATCAATTTGAAGACCACTCATTCCTTCTCACACCTGCCTTAGCCTTGACAAAGGCACAAGTAGAAAAATCATAAGGCCCATAAACTGTTTCATTTAGGATTGCCTTGTTATTTCTATTGTATATTGCATTATATATAGTATTCAAAAATGGGACATCGTATATAATATTTGTTTTGGTTTTATGTCAATTTTCATTATGTATAATGTACTGCAGTATCTATTTCTGTTCAAAATGGTACTGTGCAGTATGATTTTTGAAGTTGCCAGTAATTTGTTGGAATGATAACAGAACATGTCAGATTGACCACATCATTCAAAACATTTTGCCTTCCAAATTCCATCTGCTGTGAATATTTGAGAAGATTAAGGACTTGCGAATCTGGCTGTCCTCTCTGTCATGTTGACGTTGTGGAGTCCCAGATGAACATTTGTCCATAACATGAGCACAACATAAAGGATTTTTCAGTCCAGCTAAGTTCTTCCTTTGTTGTTAAAGCTGAGGTCTGAAGGGAGGTCTGTAGGTCTGCTATTTCTAATAGTGGACACAGGCTCCTCCGACAATGTATACACCAGTGTTTTATTTTGTCTTTTTCATTTAATATAATTCAAATTATTTCAAGAAACTGTGTATTGAAAAAAATAGAAATTTGTGAAAAAAGAATAAGTATTTTCAAGCATGTATGCATGAATTATTGAAACTAATATTGTACAGATGTTATTGACCCTTATGTGAAATCCTGCAAGATATTGTTGGTTTATTTCTTGCTTCAGAAATACCAATGATTGTTGCTTCAGACCATCAGAAGATGAAATATTTGGTAGTTATTAACATAAGCGACATGGCCCAGCAGCATGAGACTCTGATATGTGATACCCTGTAGGTCTGTGTATGTGATATGAAGTATTTAATGCTTTGTTTCTGATTATTGTCACTCCTGTAACTATTACCTTCATGTATGACCATACATCAAAGTTTACTGCATTATTGATATCTCTTCTGAAACTTCTGGATTTGTTAGGCTGAAACATTGAGTATAGAATTCCAGCAATAGTTTCTATGATTTGCTTCCAGCTGTCATCACCTCTATTTGAACATTCCATTTTGGTCTCCTTCTTTGTCATTACTTGTTCAGGGATTATTTTGTAATTGTGTCTGGGTTGGTTGTTTCTATTGTGTTGTAATATATGTTTTTGTGGACAATTTGGTTCTAAAATGTTGTAAGTATCCAGAAATTGAGTTGAGCTACAAAATGTCACTGTCTTGTCAGTTCAAATTCACAGAGTGAACTGAAAAAAACCCCATTGCATTAAGTTCATTTTCAATGAATGTCTATCAAACAAATGTTAACCCCAAGATAGTTCAGATATTTTAGACAAGCCACTTTCATTGTTTGAGTGCCATATTTCACATCAAGAGCTAATTACAAGCAAACAAATTGTTGAAAACTAAAACAAATACCTCCTTTCATAAGTCCTATTATCAGAACTGTGCTGGTGACATGTTTGGGAAATCCTCCTAATTAGTCATAGGTATTCCATGTTTTTCAAAGAAAGGCTTCCACCAAGAAGTGAATAAGCCAAACATTGATCCGGTGGAAGGGTTAAGAATAGGCTCAATGTAGAATTACCATGTACCAGTGAGCCGGGAAGCTGTTATTACCAGACACTTGGCATCCTGATGTGAAAAAATTGTTTAAATGGTGTTGATTGTATATATGGAATCATAGGACATCATTGTGTGGCACCAGGCCATGTTCTAAAAGGATTTTTTTACAGGAATATATCAGTCTGTCTCCATAGTCTCCATAGTATCAATGTCCAGTGAAGGCCTTTTTGTTATTTGTCATATGCTATACACATGCTTTTATGAACAAAGCATTTTATATTCAGTGTTCACAAGCTTCTTCCTCATCATTGTGCATAGGCAAGTCTAGCAGTTAGTGTGTTCACTCAGCATGCTGAACCTAGAGTTACTGTGTGTTAAGGTTGTTTTTTGTCTCCCATTGTGTATTAGCTACTATTAATTTATAGGTCACTTTACCCGACTCACCCATTGCTATGTCAGTATACAGTGGACTTAATTCATTACGAAACATAATTATCAAAAGTGGCTTTGAAATACAGTGGCTGTATCCAACTAGTCAACAGGTTGACCTGCATGACCAAACAAAAATACATTTGTATCACACACTATTGCTGAACCATGTTGTACCAGACTTAAATGATCTCTTAATTATGTCCTGTTTGCAGAAGTTCTGTAGCACATCACTGAACAGATGCCTCTGTTATGTTGTGTGATTTGACAGTTTCGTACAGTAATTAAGATACTGTGATGTCCGTGTTGTCAATAAACACAAATTGTCTTCTTATAGGTTGTAAACAAATGTCCAGCATTTAGAGGACAACTTAAATACATTTCTTTACATTTCCCATGAGGTAATCAATAATGTTGTTTATTGTTTCAGCCCAGACCCAGTCCGGGACATTGGACTTCCAGCCTACTCCCGAATTTCCTGCTCTGCAGTACCTGGACAGTGTGGATCAAGGTAGCCAAGCAGACAGAGTGGGCCTCAAAGCTGCGGATTTCTTATTGGAGGTGAGACTTTTACATTTAATATACACCAAATATTGACTGAAGCTGCACAATTTACTTAACCTGGAGAAAATTTGATCATCACCTTCTTTAAGTGTGTCATGTAGAATCCCAGACTGAAGGACATCCATTCATAGGTTTATTTCACACCTTTCTGGGGCTTCCTAAATAATAGAAGTTTGTTAAAGGCATGTGTAATATTTGGCATTTGTTTGCTTTATTGAGCTTCTAATGCATATATGTCAACATGTCTTTCCTTTAAACATTGTCATCAAACACAGAAGGTCCATGTCTTTTTATGGCGTCATGTTTTAATTGTGTCGTACATGTGCCTGAGTTGTTTTGTCTGCCACACTCAGCATGTACATTTGAACAGTGGTGGACAGTCTTTAGGGTGGCTTTGAACTCCTGTAACTTCTGTTGATTTATGGAATGATCCAGGACCTGTTTCAAAGCATATCTTGTGTGACTATATGTGCTGATATTTCATCTATCCTATTTGACAATGGAGTGCCATGTAAGGTCTGCCTGACACTCAAGTTTAAATGTCCAAGTCACAAACAGCAGATAGCATGGATAGTTATGTAGTTACTCCATTGTATCCCTTACATTCGCAAACCTTTCTTGTCATAACCAGTGTACAGCAATATTCATGTGCCATGGAATTCCTAGGATCCCATGATTTCTTTTGAAGGAAATGTTTCAGCACAAAATATTGTAGCAAATTCTTTGTTTTAGTCTAGCAACCTGAGCTTACTATTATATTAATCAATATATTAACTCTAAAATCTACTGGAAATGATGTCAAGTGACAAGTCTGGGCAAGTAGACTCAAACAGTTTGGGGAGAGACTAATTAGGTCTGTATATTAGAAATATACCTCACTGCTGATCTGAATGGAACATATAATCCAGGTCAACTGTAAGAAGATGCTTGTTTAAGATATGAATGTGACTGTTTCAAAGGAACTTGGTGTCACATAATTTGTTGTATAAACCTGACTGGCAAACAGCATGTCTGGTCCACTGTGAAACTTTGGAAAGCTTACATTTCCAGTGGAACATTGGCAGTCTGTGTACATACTGCTTAGTTTGTCTAAAGCCTGGTATTATGAAAAACCTGTGACCAAAAGTCAACAATTTTGTAACCACAGCCCAATCTTTTTGTACTTAGATTTACTTTAGGCTGTCAAGTGACATTGTTTAAGCTGTCCTTAATCCTGGGAGCAGCTCCTTTGTACATAAATGAAATATGCTTTCACCTATTTGTAGAGTCGGGAAAACCTAGAAAAGCATGTGTTGTCAACAACTTTCTTCATTTCTGCCACATTATATTTACTTCAAATGAATTTCAACACTGTCAACAAGTTTTCATGTCAGACGGAGTTGTCAGGGTGAAAAGTTTCATTTTGACTAATGATTTCTCTGTTATTGCCAATATCCTGTAATGACACAAAGGCATGCTATTGTTCTGATTGTCAGGTTTTAGGAAGTGATTACTTCCTGGAAAATATCAGGTGTTTTCTGTGTGTTGGTGTGGACTGTCAGGGTTATTGTGGTGGTTGACAGCCAGTGTGCAGCGGTATCATGTCAGACACACAGTCACTGTTGATGGCTACCGTTGGTTTCTTGTCATAGCTTTCTTCCACAATACAAAGACATTTTGCTTGTCACATTATGGGCACAAAATAAATTTCCAAAGGCCATTATTAGTTTACCTGGAATAATATTACTTTTCCTGTTATCAGATGCTGTGAGTGTCATCCATTAGTTTCTTGCGGGTTCTTGAATTATAATGTACACTGTTTTATGACTATTCCAATGCTGGAGAACCATTTTGGAGAATGAGTGAGTGAATGCAATCATACAGTTCTATCAATGTTGTCAGTAATTAGTCAAGTGAACCAGTGGTTGATATCAGGAACAACGACCCCTGCTGATTTTGTACAATGACAAACAATCGGCTATCTCAACTTCCAAATCCCTATTTTAGTCACACATAGTACTGGGAACCAATTTTGCCCATGGAATCCGTTTAAGGCATTTTACTAGTAGACTTTCTGCTGGTTACTGCATAGGTTAAGCCTAAAGTGTGTAACCCTATACTTCACTATTAGCCATCCCTAGTTGTATGGAAACACTCAATCCTTGCACTTACTTGTCACTTGGTTTCATCCGGGGTTGCCATGTGGAGAGCAGCACTGGATATGTACCGTTTGTCTGTATGCCCGACATGCAGAAACCTATAAGCTGATTACACCTAATTCTGACAGTTAGGGAGAGTATTCAGGGTTTAAGACTGACCATTTGACACAAACAAATCTTAGAAACATTCCAGACCATTCACTTCTATGACTATGTCATCGTGAACCTCTACCCCTATTTTCCACATGACAAGTGATAGTCACATGGTTATTGATCTGAGGGTAAGCTGTTTTGCTCTGTCACTCATTACTCTTTGATGTGAGGAGATAGACTGTAGTGCGTCACTGTCCACCACAATCTCAATACACTTTTGACCTTTGTGTTAAGACCTCATGGGGGATCAAGTTTGATCATAAAGTTATCAATCACCAGGTAAACTGGCATAAATCATAACAATCCCAAGTTGCTGCTCTTATTTTGTATGAACTGTTCCGGTGCTCTGTGTCACCCTGACTTCAGCATCTGCATCAACATCAACATTGTCATCAATCAGGATGAAGAGGCAAAGATTTATGGACAATGACTGACTTGCTTCCCCGATGTTGTGTATCATGATTTCTGTGAATAATTAGTTCTGTCTCTATTCTCTTGTCTGGAACAACTTATAATGCTGTTCTGCATGCAAGCAAATTAAGAGCTACGCACATTTTGGGCTGTCTGAGATTGTATATTTACAGCCTAAGGCAGATAGAAAAGTCATGGCAAAGTCCTTTTCAACACCATTATTCATCAGCTATCAATGAGACTTGAGTATCTCACACACACACTTATTTCATATCTTATGTAACTCAGGGTAGATAGGGTTTAGTTTCAAATGTTTTTTATTTGAACTAAATGCAATTGTTTCCTGCTGGACATTCTACTCTTTGCTTTCAAACTACCACTATATCACTACATTGAATTATCCCTGGGGCAAAACTTCAGCTTGACTATAAGTCTTATGTGGTTGTTTTGAGTTAGGGAAAAATGGACACAATGATACTGACAATGACTCCATATGAACAAAACCAAATCATGCATGCGTCATTATTTTGATATATCTATTATTCATCTGCAATATTGATTTTCTTAATAGTATTATCCCATGACTGATTGTATCATAATATATATATCCTCATGATAGTGCCCTGCAACTGACGAAACACTCCTGACAGTTACAGAGACGATGTCTGACTACTCCCTTTAGAATACTGACTGTCAACTCCACACAATCTCTGCATCCACTGTGATGCGTTTTCTTAGGTTTGAGGCGGTCAGGTTATCCTGTTTTGAAACTAGCTTTTTGGCTGAGTGAAATCCTTGATTGAATGACTATTGCCATGGGGCTCTCTGCTGTATGTAACACTCGGAGGAAGAATTTAGCATGATTTTGGCAACGTCTTGGAATAGGTTTACTGTGTTGGCTTTGTCAATGAGATATCAACACTGAACAGACAGAAGATCTGCTAGCCTAGCTTTATGTGGATGCTGAAACAAATAATGATGCAGTATTGAATTAGAGATGAAGTAAAACTTGAATAAAAGGGAATGATTTCTGAAAATGCAATTACATGTATTCCATTTTTGACAAACGTAAAATTTCAATATTTATTGTTTTGTCATCAACTGAAAAATCTTTGCTAACAAAACACAAGTCAGATTATAGTTTGATCATGAAAATTAGCAGTTGTTGAGTAATTTAAAGGCAAGCATTTGTTTTGACTTTATGTCTTGTATTATTTCACTTAAGAAAACTGTTTCTTGGTTGCATTTGTGTTCAGGGTTCAAGTAACCCAGGGATAGCCCTGGCCAATGGGTAGTCTGTTAGTTTGTGACTTGTAAATGTTCAGAGGGACTAGTTGGTTTCTCCCCATATCTAGTTAATTTACATAAGCCACTGGTTCGAAATGAGCTGCGGACAAGTAAGATATGACCAATGGTGTCTACCCCAGGTGACCCGAGTGATAGATTGTTCTTTCAACTGTGAGTCATTGTAATTTTATGGTACATGAAACTTCAGGACAGGTGAAATCTTCTAGCTGACTCATTATGCTCACATTATAGCTTTCTGACTTGTTGTTAAAGAATTTGGCTGTTCAATAGACACTGTGTCATTTGCTTCAACAGATTGGGAACGTGTGACTTGGCACAGCTGAATGGTGTCTCAAATTTTTAATGTAGACTGGCTATTACTCCAACAATATCAATTCCCTTGACAAACCACTTAGAACAAACACATTTGTAATGGCTATGTGGAAACTTAACATGAGTGCAATCACATCATTTGGTTGTTCAAGTCTTTCCATATCAGCAGTCTTTTAGGGGTAGTAGTTAGGGTATTAGTTTTAGATAAACCTGTACTTTTGTAGCGTGCCTGCTTAAGCCTTGATAAGTATAGCTCTCCCCATGTAGGAGGTATATAAACGTGGCAACCATATGCATTGATCTATCATGAGGTAGCAGGGATAAGATGGTTGGTCAGACAAATATTGACTTTGTCATGGCACTCTTCCAAAAGAATATTCACCTCTCAATGGCAATGTGGCGTGTTACATGGATTTTAGTGCTTCTAGCTTACTTTCAGATTATGATAACTTGAATGTTAAAGATCAACATGATCTTTTTCTTTTTCTTTTGTTATCCACTATGCAACTAGAAAACAAATGTGTTGGCTTTGATTTCATGGAAATGTTCTCTCACATACCAGAATGTCACTAAAAAAATGATTGTGTTCTTACATATATCATGAAACAGTCATCTGTCTTTGCTGACTCTTCATCATACAGAAATTCATGGGTTGGTATGTTAAGTGGTGAACTCCTTTGCATTCATCCAAGCATAAAGAAGTGTTTTAAGATGACATGTTTTGGTCACTCGGTGTTAAGCAGACCTTCCTGTTTTCAAGCCTAAAGTCAATACACACAGCTACAGCATTGAGATTGACATTCCCCGACCATACCAGTGGCCATTTGAGGTCACACTCTATACGCCCACCTCCATGTTTGATCTAATATTGCCTGTGGTCATCACCCAACATATGCAGCCCTACCATCAAGAACAGCCTTATGCTTGTCTGTTGACATCCGTACTGTCAGATTTCATCATAACGCAGGATGTGTGCAATGTTGGGTAACACATCTCACTCTGTATGCCCCCATGCCATAACTCATGCAATCCTAGGTGACCAGTCATGCCATTCCCTTGACAAAACATTATTGAAGGACTTGTGACTTGGCCTATATCCCCATTTCGGAAATGTTTATTTTAATTACCACAATTTATGGTGGTTGATTGCATATTGGATGCACATCTTTATTGTACTCAGTCATCTGTGAACATAGTCCCATCCCACATTAAATATTAAGCCGAGTTGAGTGAGTACACTTAACTCGGTAATTGATTGCTATGCCTGAGTGTTCAATACAGACACATAATTGAGGTATTGTTGGTTTCAACTCACTTGAGTGGTAGGGAAGTCCCATTTCTGCTCATCAATGCACATTTAGATAACAGTTGCTAAATCCAGATGAAATCTTACTGAATGCAGTTTACTGTGTATGATACAATGGATGATACTGACCTTGTTGCCTGTGGATTAGCACATATACATTGTTAGATTGCATGCTCATGCTTGATTGATTTGGACTTATCTGCAATTATGGTGCCACTTATTAACAATGTATGATGTGAATCATCTCTTTAATATGCTATGTGTAGTATTTTATAAGAATATGCATTGGATGAGAGTTTGCCACATCAGTTTTGAAAGAAGTAATAGAAAAGTTTATACAATTAAAAAAAAAAAACTGTCAAAATTGAAATACTTTGAAAGTGTTTATATGATTTGTTTTATGAGAAGTGAACCTTTTATTCATATTGTATTGTCATCTTGCACACTCAGTTCAAATGCATTTGTTTACCACTCATTGAAATTAGTAAAGTAGTTCATATGTCTCTTTTGCAAGAAACTTGTTTTGCATGATTGTGAAATTGTTTATTGTGATAGCATCCCATCCTGTTTTGAACATGAAATTACAATCTGTGTATAACTTAATGAAAGGCAAGGGTTTCCTGTTATTGTCCTATAAACTGTCTTCCTCCTGTCCACAGATCAATGGAGAGAATGTCGTTCGGGCATCACATGAACGAGTTGTACAGTTGATTCGCACAGCACGCTCTACCCTGGCTATGACAGTGGTGACAGTCCGCCCTCTTGACCGCAACAGTGATTGGTTTGTACACCAAGATGGTGTCATGACGCTTCCAAATCGCAAGAGACAAGGTAGTCACATTACAATCTGAAGTGTCGGAATTGCATAAGGAATGTATATGAATTTGATACAATTAATGCGTTTTATGTAGCATTGCTTCTCTATGTATTATTGTTGTCCTGCAAGATATGCACCTGTGTTATATTGTTGCAGCTCCTGCTCCTCCTCGCCGAGATCCACAAACATCTTTGTCCTACAGTAAAGCTACATCTAAGTCAATGGCAGAGGGACTTGCAGAAATAGGTAAATCATGCTTTATGTGGTTTTATTTTAGATTCAGTGGTGTCCTTTTTTGACGAATCATAGTAAATGTGATGTACAAAGCTTAGCCTTTCAAGCTTTTATTTGGTTGTGAATAAATGCTAATGTTAATGATTTCACATGTACATTTCAAGTTAATTATAATGTGTTTATGAACTCTGTTGACTAATTATATATATCTGTGAATTTTCTTTCAGAAAAACTTGACCAGACTTTAGCAGAATATGATGGCAATCAGTATGCTCGGCGGTCTTCAATGCCCAATGATGGCGGATCTGAACCTAAGACAGCATCAGTGCGTGCAGCTCATTCAGCCAAGAGGATGTCTGTAGTGGATCTGGACACCATTCTGGTCAGTGAGAAGACAGAACATGGCAAGACAAAGAACAAGGACTATGTAAGTCCATCAGAACTGCGGATCATGAAGTATCACAAGAAACAGAATGGAACCGTCAGCAACATGGAAAGATCCAAGAGTACACCAGATCTTGCTGGTGAGATGGTCTTAACTAAGCCAGAAGCCATCTATGCCAGGTCAGGTGTTGCAGTTGGCTCTGGAGCAGTTGGGCAAGAAAGACCTGGCCCAGGAGCAACTTGGAGCAAGTCTCATGTGTCTCCTGTAGCAGTGAAAACCCCTGAACCCTCAAGTCTGAGGGGACCAATATACATGACTCCATCTGTGAAGAGGCCAGTTACCTACATTGATCCAAAAGTACTCCAAGCTGCAGTCAGTAGTGGAAGTGCATCCAAGCTACATCTTAGTCAGGATGAGCCTCCATACTCAGTTCCTCAGATTCCAAGTCGTCAGCCAACGCCAAAACGCCCTGCGCCACCTCCTCCTCCAGTGAGGGCAGAAGTTGTCTCAATCAGTACTACATATGCTAATGTCTCAGAGGACATCCAGAAAAAGAAGAATCGGGATTCTCCATATGAATCTAGTTTTCGACCTGGCACTTTGGCAAGGCTGACAAAACATCCCCAGGTAACAACAGCTTCTCTAGAACAGGCCAAACTGAAGGCTCACCAGAGAAGTGCCAGTGCTGGGAATATTGCTGTACCACCAGATGCAGAGAATGAGACAGACAAACCTGGTGTGTCTTTTGCTGAAGATAAGGTATATGAAAGTGCAGCAAGTTTCATGGAAAAACATCCTAATGCTACTTTGCTTGTGACTGCAGATGTGCACAAAGGGCAGAAGAAGGAAAAGAACATCTATGAGGCAGAACCTGAACCTGACTATGATGTTGAGAGTGATGAGGAAAAAGCTGAGTCAGTGTCCTCCAGCTCTAGCACTAAAGTTCATGGGACATTCAGTCGACAGTCTAGTGCATCTTCTCATAAATCTACAGGCTCCAGAAATGCTGGTGAGAATAAAACTGTGATTTCAGTAGGAGGAGAGGGATCACAGAAAAATTCTCCTCAGAACAAACGCTACACTATTCATTCAGACATACCATCTTCTACTGCTCCTTTCTCAAATGATCCATCCAGTGGAACAACCAAACTCGTGATTCCTCCTCGCCCTCAGCAGCCAGCACCCTTGCCACCCTCAGTGCCTTCCAGTACCAGTAGTTCTCGGCGCTCATCAGTCCAGTCTAATATGAGTGGAGATCGGGATACTTCCTCAGATAGAATCAATATTATGCCCCCACCACCACCACCAATAACCTCTATTATGGTCCAATCAAGTCAGCCAGTAACAACCATCACTTCCCACACCACTCCACCCCCACAAACAGCTCCCCCACCACCTCCTCCTCCTCCACCAGTAGTTGCAACACCACCTCCTCCACCTCCCCCACCGCCACCTCCTGCTTCTAACCCACCCCCTCTTCCATCCTCCACACCACCTCAGCTACGACCAACAGCTCCAAAACCTGTTCCTCAAGGTCCACCTCTAGTGCCAACAGATGACATCATGGCTGCTGTTGCTAAGAGACAAGCCAGGATGCAGTCAGATGGACCACTGATGGCACCAGATAGGCCAGCCCCTGCAGCTGCAGCTCCTAAGTCAAAACTTGAACTGAATCATGAAGCACTGAAGGCTGCAGTAGCCAAACGTAAAAATTTGTTGGCCAAAGTTGATGATTCTGCTGTGGTGGATACGATTGAGTCCAGATTGCAGAAAACAAAGAAACTACAGTCAGCCAAGTATTTCTTCTCTAGTGACACCATTAATAGGAAAGATGTGAAAGCAATATCACCAGAAATTGCTGAGGAGAAACATTCTGTGACTCCATCTAAAGTACCAGTTGGGAGCACCAATACATTGAAAAGTAAAAAGACAGTTGCTGCACCACCTCCTCCAGTTATGAAACCAGCTGCAGAGGTAAATGCTAAGGCCACACAGCAGCCAAAAGAGGTGCCTAGCAAATCTGTTGCAGCAAAGGAAACTCCAGCCAGTGTACCTATTCTAACTAAATCAGACTCTGAATCACCCCAGCCTAGTGATTTCCTGGCCCTGGCAGAGAAACGTAGGCAGGAGTGGCTGCAGAAGAAATCAAATGGCACAGATACAGGAACCCTCAAAAAGAATACCACAACACAAAATCCTACATCCACAGACTCTAACACAAACAAAATTGAAGTGATTCCTCTGAAAGGCTCGTCTGTTGAGAAAGATTCTAAAGTGTCCATCCGTGATAGGATTGCTAAACTTGAGAAAGCCAATCTCAATTTGAATGGAGCTGTGAAATCTGAGGGAAATGTTGAGTTGGGTGGAGTCACTGAAGATCACTCTCACACTGAAGCTGGTCTGACTCTCAGTCGGAATAAGAAGGAGAAAGGTCTTCAGAATGGATCTAATTACGGCTATGTAGCCCCACCAACTGAATTTGAGGATGGTGGGAACAAATCACCAACCAATGCCCATGGTGTCATTCAAATTGATATCATCCCACCGCCTCCAATTTTCGCCAATGAGAGTAGTACAGATGAGAGTGGTCATGCCAATGAACAGTTTGGGTCAGCATTTGGTCATGATGATGCAGCAAGCCTGGTGTCATCAGTCTCCACTCTCAGCACTTTATCCAGTGAACATGGTGAAGCGGGGTCTCCACCAGCAAAGCATGCTCAGCAGTATGATGACATGATCCCTCCACCACCACCAGGATTTGATGATTTAGGGGAACAGATGTACGATGAAATACAAGGGGATGAATGTATCCCCCCTCCGCCACAGTTTGGTAACTCAGAAGGTGGCAAGCCAAAACCTATCCGACCATTCCAGACAAAGGCTGTAGAATCCTGGCTGTGTACTGATGTCATGGATTGGCTTGACAGTGTCAGTATGAGCCAGTATAGGTCGAGTTTTGCTAAGAACTGCATTGATGGACCCAAGCTACTGGGTCTGGGTAGAAATGACTACATTGAACTTGGTGTTGTTCAGGTTGGACATAGAATGAACCTGGAGCGATCAATCAAAAAAGTAGCTATGAGGAAGACAGCACTGTGATTGTGTTTGACTGTGAAAATATTGTTATTCAGACATGGAAATACTTGTGAATTTTGTGAAACTATGATACAGACATGTTGTTATGGAAACAGTGAAGTGGATAGTGCTCAAGTCTTTCATACTGAAAGTGTAACAGGCATTACATGCTAATAGTACATTTAAACTGTGTGGTGTGACTGTTCTGTGTGAGCAGTATGTCTTATACATTCCTGGAACTATTGATTGGATGACCCTTTTGATGCAGTTAAAGGATATCACCCGCATATCATGGAAAAACTGCATCCAGTGTACATATCATAAGATATTATCAGTGCCCTAGTCACATTGTGTTTACACACCTAACCCAACCGTTGTTTATACTCCCAATGTTCTCATGCAATATACTCATTGTCTGTCTGCCTGTGAACTTCCTGTCTGTGTGGACTGTCTTTCACCTGCCTGCTTTTGCCAGACGGTGTCGGGATTGTCAAGCTAGCATTGCCCAGTTCTTCACTTGGATCAACATTGCGTTTACTTTTTTGTTGTTTTGTTTGTCAGGCTAAGTTCTAAGTTGAAAATGCTTTAGAATCTGGTTTGACTTGGAATATTTTCTGGCACTTTGATGTCTTTGAAAGGAAGCTGGCCAATGTTATTGTCTCTCAAGTGTCTGTTGTCAGGACCAGCATAGGCAAAATATCTTTTAATATCTATCTATATAATAACTTTATAAAAAACTAATAAGAAGCATGACCCCAGAGTTTCCAGGTCATTAAAGGTAACTCCATTTCTGATTGCTGGTTGTGAAGATTTTGGCGGAAACCTAATGCAGTTGAAATGCTATGTAGAACATATGTCACTGCAAAACAGAATTTTGTGATGACAGTATAATGATAGGAAAAATATGTGTGGAATTCAAGTTAGGTTTTGATATAGGAATTTTGGATCAATTCTGGATCCATGCCTACATAAATTTGTTCCAAGAAGTTTAGATTTAGATACTGGCAGCTACAGGCTTGTAGTCAGAGAGGTGCCAGTAACCCAACAGTAAATGGCAACCTAATACAGGACCAACACAACTTCTTGTTGCTGCATAACTTCTTGTTACACTTAATCCTTAATAGCCATGTTGTCATCAATTTAAGATGCATGCCAGTTTCAATCTGTGGAATCCAAACTGTCAATTCTACTTTATGCTTCACACAGTTAACATATGCACATTGATATCAGTTGGTAGTGACTTCTATATTCCTAATATCTTTGTGTGTATACCAATGGGTGTATTTTATCATATTTAATTGCCAGTCTTGTTGCATCTTGACATGCAATTGTTACAATACACGGTTCCTGAACAGATACCTTTCCTTTGCTCTTACACTGTCACTTTGTGATCTTATCATGGATTACACATAAACATGAGATTATTACTTATTAATGTTAGTAATTACTAATATGATATTGTTTTTGTCATATTATCAAAACAGGTAAACAATACCCAGATAACAAGGTCAATGATGTTGATTTCAAATAGATGTATTTTACTTGAAAATAAAGCAGAATCAACACCTATCTATTCTATGAAATATAAACATATCTAGCTGTGATGTAGATATACGTTGATATGGGATAATGTATGCACCTATGATAGTCTTTCATAAGCTATATTTATCAAAGTCCAGATCTGTATATTTGATAGAATTCACATCTATCTGAATATTTTTGAAAATAATGACAATTCCTCCAACATGTACAAAGGGGGATAACTCTTGTATTCACTTAAAGTGTACAAATTGATCCATGCTGTATATGCTTTGAAAGGATCCTCACTTAAATGAATTTGACCATAACATGGTTGTGTAACTGATTTGTGGTCAGTGAAGTAAATATAGTGTAAATTTAACATTTAAGACTTTGACTGTTGATCACATTTATATATTTGATTATTCCAACTTCACCACAATAACTTATTGATAATTTGACAAATAATTTGATGCATGCACTTGTTAATCATTGCAGTTAATACTGATTTACAATGACAGTAATGTACCCAGTCTCCTTGTATGTGTATACTGAAACTACATTTCTCTATGCACCGATGTTATATAGGGGAGCAGTGTACCTGAACATAGTACAATGTATATAACACTGTAATGACCTTCACCTTGTAGCCTGTACAGAGAAGAGTTTTATCACATTTCCAGTTTGTTCACAGCAGATCGATAATTGTCTTTTCTATTATTTATATACTTGAACAATAAACTTGTGAAGGATTGTTATCTTAGTGGCCATATGTAAGAAACAAATGTTAATAAACTCTTCCATGTTGCTTCCGACTTGGTTTTCGTCATTACGATGACAAGGATTTCAACAAGATTTCAACAGTGTGATTCTTTCAAATTCTGAAAGATAACTATCTGTCACCTTTTGCAGCTGATCAAACAAATAAGTATGTCAAAACTAAGCCTCTTATGAGAATGACCATGGTTTCCATATGAAGCTCACCAGTAGTAGTTCATCCAAGTTCACACTCATTCTTCAATTTGTAAAAGACAGTAAATGTCAAATTCATATTAGGTAGTCATTGCCGGAGTCAAAAGATTGTAAAAATGAAGTTAAAAAATCAAAAGGTATAGATGAGACTCCAATACATGCAAGTCACACAGAAGATTTCATTAATGGTGCAACCACGGATCTATATATACAAGTCTGTGGTGCAACCAATGTGAATTGAGATATTTAAGTATGGTTTCCATGAGAACCAAATGTTACTTGGAATGGTGATGAAGAGAACACTCTTGAGTGAACTAATAGATCAATGATTGGTTGTCCATGTAAAGTTCTAGCTTATCACTCATGTGCTTTGATGCAGGAGGTTAGTTCTTGAATTGAGCAAAGAGAGCAAAACAACAATGAAAGGGCATCACTTGTTTTATTTCTTTACATGGTTATGAAAAAAGTGTCTAATTCCATTTGTACATCTGCATGAAACATTTTCACAAACTAAGTAGTGGAGTACCAAGCATTATTTGGAACTGTAATGGTACTGACTGTGAAAAAAAGTAACTCCCCTTAATTCAGTGATATAAAATTTGAGATATGTGATAAACAAGCTATTTTTTACTAAAACCTTACACCATTGAATATTCATCAGGTTTGCAGTTAGTTATTTTTTACAGAACATTTTTTCAGAACACTTTGTGATACTTTGTAACATGTCACAGCTACACCAAACCAATTTATTTTCTCATTGATACTGATAAAACAGTAATTAGACAAACTAGATTGAGAGTTAGTGTTTTTCAAAGTGACTCCCTCTTCAACCTTTCATAATATCAGATTCACCTTAGATTGTTTTAAGCTTGCAGCATGCATGGTGTTATATATACTGAACAACAAAAGGTCCTGTGACATTGAATAAGATTTGTTGCAAAGTTATGTTTTTTACCAAATCTGAAACAATTTCGGTTTGCAACAGATAAAAGACTCCTGTAAGTGTTCAAATGGTTAATTTGCCATACTGACTTCAGAAAATGTGTGATTTCATAAAATACATGAACATGCCAAAATGTCAATTTACAAATCAATAACATGTGTGTCCACCTCTGGTTGCAATGCAAGCAACACATCTTCGTCCATGGAATGGACCAGGCGTCGCACAAAGTTCTGTGGGATATCTGCTGGAGCATGTTTCGAGGTTCCTGGAGTGTCTGTGGAACACGTGGTTGACGTCCAAGGTGCCGATCCATCTCATCCCACATGTGCTCGATTGGTGAGAGATAAGGGGAGCGAGCCAGCCAGGGGATGACATTCATGTTGTTCTGTTGAAGAGAATCCTCAACAAGTCGAGCAATATGAGGCCGGGCGTTGTCATGTTGAAAGGTAATGCCTGGGCTATGACGATGCAAAAACGGTAGAACAACAGGGCTTATGATCTCGTCAGGTTAGCGCTTTCCATTGATATTTCCCTCTACCACTATCAAACGGGTCCTTTGTCTTACTGTAATTTCCACCCCATACCATAACGCTGCTGCCGCCCCCGAACCGATCTTCTTCCATGACAATCATTGACGTAACGTTCACCTCGACGTCGGTACGCCTGAATCCGTCAATCGCTGTGGCTGAGGTGAAAATGAGACTCGTCAGTGAATAGAACGTGTCCCCACTGCATGTCCGTCCAGCGTAGACGCTGTCTGCACAACTATAGACGTGCTTGACGGTGGTTTCCTGTCAAAATAAGGCGTCTGGAGGGTCTTCTGGTGACAATCCCTGCACATCTGAGGCAGCGACGGTAGGTTTGTGAAGATATTCGTCGAGGGCCAAGGATGCTTCTTGCAGTCACTGTTGCTGGCTGGTATCGATTTCGTAGGTGTGTTGTTCGAATCCAGTTGTCTTGTCGATTATTGGTTACGCGTGGCCTGCCACTCCGAGGATGGTCTCTGATTAAATTCGTCTGCTGCCGACGTGGCCAAAAACACCAAATAGTGTTCCTGTGGACGTTAAATTGTCTTGCAACATCACGTTGACTCGATCCTGCTTCAAGCATACCAATGGCTCGCAGACGCTCATTTTCGGACAGGCGTTGCATTTCGTAATGTTGAATAATTGCATAATTTTGTTGTTTTTCTGAGTGGTTGTTGTCAGCACGATGCTAAACAATGCATATGGAATCCCGTTAACGCACATGTTTTTATACCCATTCTTGGGTAGTGAAATGCATGGGGCTTGAATAAAAGTCAACTTTTGCATGGAATGCACGCTTTTCTGAAGCAGTTGCGTTTTTGTGACTTGATTCCATACATGTACCACAATAGTGAAAACCAAACTTTACTTGTTTGAAAAATACACTAAAATATTGGTGTCACAGGAACTTTTGTTGTTGAGTATATGTCTAAACAATGAAAACATCTTACTTTTCATTTATCTTTCGATTATAAATAGAGTAAGGGAACATTAACTATAATGACATCATTGAAAACAACCTTCAAATGCTATTTTCTTTTGTAGAAATAGGCTGAATTTTAATATTCAGTATTCGTATGTACACCAAGTTTCTGATGTTTCTTGTATGAAAGGATAATCATGGAATACACCTCTGTATTAGTATGAGAGGCTCTTCTCGCCCAGACATTCTTGAATTAAACACATGTCCGAATATATGTAGTCCGAATATATATAAGTCTACACAAACAAAAAAAGGATAAAATATTCGCACTATCGTCTACAGTGTCAAAATAATAACAGAGGTCTAAGATGAATAGAAAGCTTGTAAGTATTTATGAAAGAAAACAAACATATTGACTATTCAGTAATTGTGATGATCATATTAAATATTAATTTTTATCTAAGCTAAAATCTGCTAAATCATACATAAATCAGACTCTCCATTTTAACCAGTCATTTGAGAAATTATGTACATACATTTATGTGAAGCTTTTGTACTTGGTCCAAAGATAGATGTATTTGTCCACACGTGTAATCTTTTCTCTGTTACTAACAGCTGAAAGCCGATTTCATTTTGAATAGTCAACAAAAGTAACACTGGCGTTAAATTACGTGAATTTGTAAAGACTCATGACTCAAATAACAGACCATTCACAACGACCACCACATGGAACATACCATACCACATGTCTATTATTCTTTACATATTCACCAAGTGTGTAGCATATTAGATACACTGAAAAAAAAAAGTAACATGTATTATGTTTATAATTAGTTACAAACTTAAACATGGTTATTTTCTAGGAGGGGCGGTCGGGTAGCCTAGTGGTTAAAGCGTTCCCTCGTCACGCCGAAGACCCAGGGTTCGATTCCGACATGGGTACAATGTGTGAAGCCCATTTCTGGTGTCCCCCGCCGTGGTATTGCTGGGATATTGCTAAAAGCGGCGTAAAACCATACTCACTCACTATTTTCTAGGGGTATCGCACTTATTTAACAACAAACAACAGCGTTCCTTCAGTAAAGGTGGGCGAGTTAGGACATGATGTACATGTAAAGTTGTATTTCTTTGTAGAATTGCAGGTACTAAACTGAATGTCCAGTTTGTTTCAATTGCTTATATCGTCTCGTCCTAACGACCATATTTGGGAATGCAGTACTTTCTCTCTGTCGTGAAGCTGACAGTTGTCAAATATGTTCCAAACGCACAGTAGAACATCATTTCTAAATCAGTAAGGACAGGGCTTGTCAGAGCACTTCTCAGAAATCAAAATGCACAAGTACAGGGCTGATGTACATAGGATTTTCATGAAGTAATCTTGAGAATGCCTGTGTGTGGTGATTGATGGTCTTGACAGCCACAACAACCTGTTACAGACTTACATGTACATAATACGTGAAACGGGGAATTCGTTGCCACTCCCAACTCGAAGACACAATTTACGGTGAAGTCGTAGAAAAACCTGAAGTGAATTCGTAGACACATTTTTATATTGAAATTGAAAGATAATTCTTTGGCAGGCACTTTTGTGAATAAAGTATTACATAAAAAAGAAGGTTAGTATTAGTATTTCTTTTGCAGCATCTATTATTATAAATACCTAATTCGTAAGTATATCCATGTTGAGATGGACAAGAGGTCCATTCGGAAAGTGATGGGTGGAGTGGATTACTATTTAATCATTTTGTTTTGATAAGATTTGCAGGATTCTTTGTAACTTTGTAATTATAAAGAATTATAAGGTAAGTATATCCAAACCGAGGACAATTTGTGAGTAAGATGAATTACCGTATTGCTATTTTGTTTTCAGATAGAAATAAATGATTATTCATTCCCTTTTCTCTAGTGTATATGTTTTTGTCTGAACTCACCCTTAATTGTGTCTACGAGTTGGTAGTGGCTACGAATTGGTTTTTTTACGAATTCACATACAGCCCCTAATACACCATCAATGATCAACTAACACAGACGTGGTCCCAATATGCACATATAAATGAAAAGAGCTACCTTTTCTGATACATCAAATGTGTATAAACCCCATAGCTCTGCCTGTATAATAATGTTGGTTATATTTTCATAATAAATTACTGTACTATATCATAAGCATACATTTGTGAAGCACTATCAAATAATGATGGTAACAGGTGTTCGCGAAAGCAATGAGCAGTCATGACATACACTCAATGTATTTTCGTCAGGTAAGCTAAGTACACAATAATCTCCTTTACATGTATTCATGTCACATCAATAGGTATTTCAGACACTGGAATCTAGTAATCAAATGACAACTAAAAAAATTAAGCCAATTGACTTAAGCCAATGGATATTCAAACACAAAGACACTGACATAATGCAATCAATAGTAACCTGTTTCATCAGGCTTG